GGCTGCACACTATCAAACTTGGTTAAACACACCCGTGGAGATATTGTTCTGTCCTGGTATTCCCGGGGCAGGAAAGACAATCTTAACTGCCATCGTGGTAGCCGAACTCTACAAACGGTATCACCAGAACCCTGACGTTGCGGTGGTCTTTTACTACTGCGACTACATTCGCAGCAAAGAGCAAACGGTAGATGACATCCTACTGAGCATTGTAAAGCAGCTGGTAGGAGCTCGAACGCCTTTGTCGGCGAACATGCAGAACTTATACAAACGGCACGAGGAAGACCAGAGCCGATCATTGCACGAAGAGATACTACATGCTCTCCAAGACGAACTTGCGTTCCATTCGAAAACGTATCTTCTGATCGACGCATTGGATGAATGCTCCGACGGCGCAAGGCTCCTTCAGAAACTCACCAAGACCTTTGATGCGTTCGCACTCAACATATTGGCGACTTCGCGCTTCATACCCGAGATTATTGCGGAGTTTCAAGAAGCCAAGACTGTTGAAATACGCGCGGACGAGTCGCACGTGGAAGCGTACCTCACGGCGCACAGAGAGAAATTTCCCTGGTTTGTGCAATCAAACTGTACATTGCAGGATGAGATCAAGGTCGAAATCGTGAGTGCGGTCGAGGGAATGTCAGTCCTCTTATTCCACATTAGTATGCGGTCTTAGTCTTAACAGGTTTCTCCTCGCCTACCTCCATCTCGACTCTCTTGTCGGGAAACGGTCAATCAAAGCGCTTCGAAATTCCCTCGACACACTTATGAGTGGCTCCGGCGCCTACGGTTCTGCCTACACGACTGCAATGGACCGAATCCAAAGTCAAGCGACAGACCAAGCAAATCTCGGAAAGCAAACGCTTGCATGGATTGTCCATGCTAAGCGATACCTCACCACGCTCGAACTTCAAGAAGCGCTCGGTGTGGAGGTCGGTGAGAATGGGCTGGATAAAGATAATTGTCCGGACGTTGACACATGGTGTCGGCCTGTGCTGGCCTCGTCACAGTCGACGAAGCAACTAATGTCATCCGACTCGTTCACTACACCACCCAAGAATACTTCGATCGAACACGACAAACCTGGTTTCCGAACGCGGAAGACACAATCACGGAAATCTGCACTACATACATGTCTTTTGATTGTTTCGAGTCAAGTTACATTGACGAAAGATATCAATCTTGCCAACGAGGTCCAGGATTGTATGGTCATGCGGCAGTGAATTGGGGATATCATGCTAAACTTTCTGCGGCTGCGCTTCCACATGTCACCGAATTTCTGGCACGACCGAAACATGTAGCGGCATCAGGAGAGTATTTGTACCGGCGCAGTCGATCCCCTCGTTACGTTGCCACTGAAGAAGACAACGCTGAAATTGTAGGGCCACCAATGACTGGGTTGGACTTGTCGGCCTGGTTTGGTCTCGATGAGGTCATGCTCGCAGTTCTTCGAATCATTGGTACCGCCGACCCTCGGGACTCGAGTGATACCATACGGTCCACATCGCTGATGTTCGCTATATATCGCGGCCACGAGAATGCTGCCGCCCTGCTTCTTGAGTGGGATGCTACATCTCACACAGAAAATGACATGGGATATACCGCATTGTCGTTGGCGGCGTGCAGGGGGCATGAAGCCATTGTCAGACAACTTCTTGCCAGCCGCGCGCCTATAGATGACGGGCGTGTGAGCCTCGCAACATTGCCATTAGCGAGCCATTGGAGGAATTCGATGATTGCAACTGACACAGGCATGCCCCCCAAGCTATCGGTTAAACCTCCAGTAATACTAAGGCCAAAGCCAGACGCGATTATTATGCCGTTATGAATAGGTCGGCTGGTTTCAAGTACGTGCAAATCCCAAGCTAGACTGCAGAGCGCTGGTCGTGAAGATTGGCCTGCACAAGCAACGAAAAACATTATTCATGGTTTTTCGGCGGTGGTGAATATGGAATCAGTCGGACTCCTGATTGCCAGAAGGAGAGATCGTTTATCGTCGGCCGGGGAAGTCTCACTCTTGTTATTTGCCTTAGAGGTAGCTGTGAGAGGCTCGTATATGATGGGCTTAGCGTGGGACACGGTTTAGGCGAGGCAATAAACCCGGCGGACTTGAATGTTGCTCTAGCGCTATGTAGCAGTGTGGGGAAGTTCCCGTCCTCTCGAGACAGGCGGAATGGACTTAGCGCTTATGCGTCAGCTAATCCTTCACCCTGAAGACTGCTTGGCGGGATGCCTTATCTAAGCCACCGTATAAAGAACAGCGTGCACCTAGAAGCAATGAGTTATAACTACTTAGGTGTTCAGCTCAAGATCTAAGAAGAGTATCAGCCGAGACGATTGTATCGGTATCACCACGCGACCCTCATACGCAACCTTTTACCACTTCCCAGGACACCTCCAACGTATCGCTTCAAAGTAGGCCCAATTAGAGACCGAGCGTATACAGGCCCTACCTAGAGCACGCGCGTGTCGTCTTCTCATCTTCAACACGATACCAACTCGCCTGTGGCTCTCCCGAACCATGTTTGAGCAATTTGAACTCCGGCACATCCCACCTCTTCTGCTCGCCAGCATCTGGACAGTCGGCGGCCTCATGTCCTTCACCCATGGTCCAGAAGAAGCGATCCTGACGTATGGTCTGTCCAAAAAAATCGCGTCCTCGCAGGCTGCATGGCCGCTCATCAAGATCGAGGGTTCGCGGATTACGACCATTGGCTTGGCCATCTGGGGAATCTACCTAGGAGGGCATCTTGAGGCTATGGATACCTTGCTTGCTTGCATCGGTTGGATGGCGGTAATTGACGGCGTAGTCTGTGCGAAAGACGGGGCAGCGGGGTCGGCGAGGATGCGAGCATCGTATCAGGGTGTTGTCGCGCTTTGGGGCTGGTTTGGCATGACGTCTGGAAAATATATTTAAGGTCTTTAGTTCCAGGGTCGATTGGTTGTCGTGGTTCCGCTCGTTCCATAAAATAGGTAGACCGGCTCGAATCCTGAAGCGTGGCGCGCTCGTTCTGATGCCCCTCACCAGCGCTTCACTGACAAGACATTTTTACGATCACGGAGCGTCAAGCCATTTCAGTCTCTCTGAAGACCTGTCTCGTGGAGATGACTGAATCGACGATCCTGCAGCCTTTGAGAGCTGGAACCTTGGAATAGATGATCCAGCAGCAGCAACAACAGCCTTTGATGAAATGACGCCATGGCAGTAGGAGGAGGCGTGGGACACATGGAAGAACTCATGGTATCAAAATTGTTACAACAAATTTCGTGAGCTGCTCAACAATCTTATCAAGCGATCAAGGTGTGGCGGAGTGATGGGACGGTGGCAAGTGCAGAAAGGACAACGATTACGTCAGCACATGGCTTGTGCGTCTTCGGACGGCGATCATGGCCAACGCGTCGCGACCTCGCTTCACAACCCACCCGCATCCTGCAATTCCTCGGGGTGGTTTTTGCTTTCGATTCCCGAATATCTCAAGGTGACTATCGCAACTGCGGCTTTATCACCGTCGAAACTAGATGCTGCCACGATTGCGACGCGTTCTCAAACCTTTTCTTGTCGTCTCACCCGTGTTGCTCCTTGCCTTATTGCTAGCTTCCCGACAGGCGTCAAAAAGGTCAATGCTGTCTGCACCATCACCCAATGAAGTTGCCACTCATCTACTTGCTGAGAAAGGCTTGAGCCTTCAAAGTTTGAAGGTCATCCAGTCTCTGTGGGCTGGCTACGGTCAGATATGTCATATTACTGCCACACCTGATGGACTTCTGGATGCAAAAGACACGCAGTCGTACATCCTAAAGCTCATAACGCCGCCGCCGACGAGGGCGAACGATGAGGGCCACACCAGAAAGATACTGAGCTATCAGGTCGAGCAATACTTTTACAGCCACCTAGCGCCACAGCTACCCTCTTCTGTACCCGTTGCTAAGTGCTTGGGAAGCGTCAATGAGCACCATGCCAATGGTACATCAACTACCGCCATGGTTTTGAGCGACCTGAGGCAGCAGTATCCGATCGCGGGCGAGAAGCGAAATGTTCTCTCGTCAGCCCAGGTCAACGCTGCACTCGACTGGCTATCCGGCTTCCATGGCTTTTGGTGGCCGCGCATAAATGACTTGGACAAATCTCTATTAGTTTTACCACCCTTGGAGGAGGTGCAACGTGATGGCCACGATGCTTCCGAAAAGACGATTTGGCTGAACGGCGGCTATACATACCTTGCAACGCGAAGGACAGAGTACACGAGCCTGGCAGAAGATTCTGAGTCCGAGTGGAGCAGCGCTTTAACCAGCCGGAGTGGAAGCGATACTCAGTCCATTGCAGAAATGGCTGCAGCGTTCTTGACACCTGCAATACCTGGATCCACGCCAATAGACCACTACCAGACCCTCATCCACGGCGATGTAAAGTCTGAAAATCTCTTCTCAAGCAAGTTTGGAGACCAACTCGTGTTCTACGACTTCCAGTATACTGGTCTTGGTCTCGGAGTGTGTGATCTAGCCAAGCTCTTCACCTGTTCCGTGCCACTGAGCATGCTCGTTACTCAGAAGAGCATACCGCATATACTGCCAATGCAGGTCGGCGAAAAATGGTTACTGGAACGCTACTGGCGTGGATTGAAGAACACTGGCGAGAGGGACTACAGCTGGGACATATTCTTGTTTCATTGGGAGATTGCGCTGGTGGACTGGTTGCGTTTTCAGGCGAGCTGGGGCTTCTGGGGTAACACGGAATGGCTCGAAGCAAGAGTGAGGCATATTTTGAGCGACGCGGAGTGGAGGAAGGCGTTGAAACGAGCCGTCAATGGCCACATATGAGTGACGGTTTTGCACCCTCGATTCGTTGCCTCGCCGTTTCCCTCTCGTGCAGAACCCTATTTACTGAACCGCTGCGCTTCATGACAGCTGGCATTCAACAGGGGAAAAAGTTTTATGCGCGCCGCAGGACGTCTCGCGCACATAAAGATATACCAACCTCAGAGTCCTCAAGTATGAAAGCCCGCTTGGCCAAGTGGTAAGGCGTCGCACTCGTACAGCTATAAAATGCGAAGATCTCCAGTTCGATCCTGGAAGTGGGCTGCAAAGCTTTCAAAGATGTTTTTTTGTTGATTGTATTTGCTACATCTCTTAACTCGGCAGACAGCAACAGCGACACCCAATGCTAAAACTACACACGGCTCAAAAGAAAGATGAACAAGGAGGAGATGAAACGATCATACAACGAACAACAATCATGCGTCCGTCTTCTCAAGAATTTGAGGTCAGTAGGCTTCCTTCCCTCGAGATAGGAAACGCTCCAGGGCACGCCGATTGCCGTTCATATTTCAACGCTGTTTCGAAATTTGTCCGCAGCTCCGAGTCCGGCTTCGACTGTGCGCTACAAAGGCTTAACGCTGGCGATGCGCTCCGATCTGGCCCTAATACGGTAGCTTGGCTTATGGCCAAATTATCGGGGCTCTGGCTTGTGATTGCCGCCAATGTCTGGGGACTATTGGTGTGAAGGGGTGGAGGAGTCTTACGACTTGGAGCTTTGGCCCACACATCGTCACCGTTCAACGTCTGTGTCGTGTGGACGAGGTCTTCGGATAGTGTACCGTCCATCGTCTGAGCGATACCTGGCTGAGACTGGCCTGGTCTGCTGAAACCGACCCATCCCTTTCCCGTCTGCTCCTTCAGAGCACGAGCCGCCTCTATACGACGCTGTTCCCAATCGACAAACCGAATGTCGTTTACCTCGACGTGCTTCGTGACTTCCTTGGAGTCTTTCAGCGATTGTTCACGCTCCTGGCCGCATCTCTTAGCTCTCCTCTGGTCTGCTGCAGGGATGTGCTTCTTGTAGCACATGGCTGGGGTATCATGGATATGGTAAGTGCACCCAGCTTCTTGAGGTGCCGAAGGTCCCGTTTCTGGAGCTAGTCGGCGCAGAGCAGCCTCGAGCATTGAGTGGGCAAATGCGGGCGGCAGTTCGGGCATGTTCAAGCTGCTCGCGGTCTCAACCCCCGCATCAATGCATCGATCGACCACGAAGCGTTTCAGCGATTCCGATATCTTCCCTGGGCTTGCTGAGAATAAGTGCTCGATGGTGTAGACATCGGCGCATACATTCCTCTCCACCTTCTCTAGCAAGATGTCAAGGACGTGATCCGAGAACGCCGGTGCGCCGATAGTGTAGCCGAGTGTATGTGCATTCATCAGTGGCCAGTGCATTCGCCACGTATGTATGGCATGGAGCTTCGAGGAAGACCCGTGTGCCACCTGCTCCCTCGACGATATGATACCGGTATGAAGCCAGATCCGGTAAATTTCGAAAGCACCAGGATCGACATCCTCCAACGACATGTATTTGTCACTCTCCTCTCCTGCAGATGTACGGAAGTGTATCTGGGACAAAAAGTTTGCCAGTATCGGGAGGCTTGTCGCTGACGCCTGTACGAATCTCTGCACAAAATACTGGGACGCAGGGTTACGTACACCGAGGAGGAGGCTCACCATCTCCTGCCGTGGTTCGTGGTCTTTATCGTTCGTCGAGATCTGCGGCTGGCCCTCAGGTTCGATTGGTTTGCTGTCGTCATCATCGGCCATGTATGATCGCGTGGTAGATGTATCCCTAAGTGTGGCACGGCATGATCTAGTCAATGTCCGCAGCACCGCCTGCTCATCTCCTTGGGCGGATTTTGGACCCTCGCCCTTGCCTTCTTCGATCCAGGCTCCCACAGTTGAAGCATCGACAACTGCTGTGTCTTTCTCTTTCTTGTCGGCGTTGACGTCTCCGCGAAGCTGTCGGGCTTCGGTTTGCTCCGGCTTCTTGATGGTGTTGCCTTTGGGCGTCGATGGTTTCTTCGACCTGAAGAACCCCATGGTCACTCCCGAATTTGTACAAGAGTAGAAGATTGTGGAATAGGTTATGAGAAGATGGAGTATATGATGGTGGCGACTATTGAATATCGGCAATGCGTTTGCAGACAAGCAGACAAGCAGTCACAGCACAGAACTTGACATTACTACCGTCTGTCACGTCAACAAGTTTAACTTCAACGTCCGCATGTACATACAAATTGGTACGGACATCACATTCCGAGAAAGTGTGAACGCGAAGATGGGCTGCGTAAGTATTTCTTGCAGTGTATCAAGACCTCGCAAACACCCTACAGTGCATGCCTAGTCTTGCAAACACCATGTCCTTCCAACTACAGAACAGTAATTCTATCCGGCCTTCTGTCCCACGAACCGTAGCGTTCGTTTTACCAGGGCGCAGAACACTATCAGAACACCTCCCAGCGGAGATTATCGACCTTCCGGTATCGCTCGCGGAACGTTCCCGATACCTCCGCAAGGCTATTGTAGTACAAGCTTTGAACAAACCAAGTGAGCGGCAGATTCACCTCCCTGGTGTCGATTTGATGGGATTTAGATTTTACGTCGAGTGGCTTCGCACTGGGCACATCGACTTCTATGCCACTTCTGCTTCATCGTCTTGCAGTGGGCTCTTATTGCGTGACTGCTTTGACCTCATGTTCGCACATATTGCAGGGTCTCTCTTCGAAGAGCCCAATTTCCAGGACTATATCATCGACATTATGTCACGGTATCTGAACGCATCGCAAACTCCCGATCTCAAGGTTTTAGAGGAGGTGTTTCTCGAGAAAGGCATCTCGAATACCCTCCGACAATTCGTGATTGACAGGATGTTTGCCGTTGAGCGGAAGATGCTGGGTATGATTAGAGGTAACAGTAGTGAGAGCAACGGGGGTGAGGTAAGTTGCCAATACCATGTCCATGGAGAGGGGCGTTGTTACCGAACTAGTGCAAGATACGTAGATACAAACGCAGCTCTCACCGAAACCAGAGTCGGTTCAAACGCCATGGACACGTATTACCAGAAGGGAGAAGACACGCGCTCTTCTTCATCGATGTCGCCGAATAATTATCTCGCCAACAAAAGTGTCCCGCATGACATGTCGAATACAGTTGGCTCCGCTGAGTGGGCGCGCATGGTCCATAGCCACGTACGGAGTGTAAACCTGCCCGACCTGTCGCGTTACGAGAAGCCTTTACCTGTGATACCACCACGGACGCCAGGACAGTCGCCAACTCCACCCTCTTCGCACCCTTCGCCGCAAACGTCCAGCATCGAAGTTTCAGCGACGCCGCACAGTGACATCAGTGACGATACCCCGGCCGATCTTCCCAGTACACAACAGCTTGTTCAGGAATGCTTCAGGCGCCTTCCACTCGCGGCCCTCGCGCAAGACCGATCATCTGAACACCCGCAAAGAGCGGATCGGACACCTATATTTGGGCTACTTCTCGAGTGCTTGGAGCGACTCAATGGGCGCACCGTTGAAAAGGGTTCTACCCACACCCCCTCAGATAATGCTTCGACGCATATGACCTCGTCAGGAGACACTACGTTCGACTTTGATACCCCGTGTCGACCCTCGCCCAAGCAGACTAACCCCCGTTTGTCGCCTACTACGGATAGCATTCAGATACGTCCTGAAAGAAGCTTTGATGAGTTGCCACTATTGGGGTATCTTTCGAGAACCGGATTGGGTGAGCGGCCGAGAGCGCTAAACCATGCGCATGAAGAGGCATATCCTATTGAAGTACCAGCCAGAGTCGTTCGACGTTTAGGGCACCACTCGCCAAAACCGCAGGATACCTCAAGTCGTCAGCATGTCCAGTCCCGCCCACAGTCACGTTGTTCGGACCAAGGTGATCATCTCCAAGCGGAGCAACCAAGACAACGAGGTTCATCCATCGCAGAAAGACCGCACCACCCATACGCCCACCTCGGCTTCTCCACTCCTCGCCCTCACCTCGTCGACCCACAAGCATCCCACGAGATCCTCGAATCACCAGGCCACCGCCACTCTTACGCTGGGCCTACGCACAACCATTCCTACGCGCATCTAGATTTCTCCACCCCCCGACCCCGCCACGTCGACGCACATGAATCCCAAGAGCTCCTCAGCCCAGTTTCTGAATGCCGGGAAAGTAGCGTAAACCCGTTGCAGCGGGACGATGCAGAGTGGCACCAACGCCAGCGATACATGATGTCGAATTCCTTCCCACCAGTTCCTCTCTCAACATCTTCACTAGCGCTGCATCAACGCCAAACCACTCCTTCACCTTCACCTGCGCCAACTCCACAAAGCGAGCACGACTTCACATCCGACTCCTCGCTCGAATCCGCATTCGGTCTATCCAGCGCCAACGCCGCCGAACGCTACCAACGCCAGCGCTGCTTACTCTCAGCTGCGCTTCCGCCGCTGCCGCCGGCGTTCACGTCTGGTGGGGTGGAGGTGAGGCGCAAACCCATTTCCGTCTATTCATCTTCAACGGCAGCTGCAGCGGATGTGGCGCGCAAACCGGCGCCGCTGAGGGGACTCGATTGGGTTGAGCAGCAGGCGCGGAATCCGTGGGCGGGTGCGGCGGGGGAGGGGGTGGTGAAGAGGAGTAGGAAGAGTAGGGTTAGGGAGATGTTGAGGAGTGGGAGTGCGTTTGGGAGGGGTGGGTGAGGAGGTTGGGCTGTGGTGGTGGAGAGAGGGGATGTTCTCTGCTTTGTGTGCATACATTAATATCAGCATTGAGGGTTGAACAAAGTTGTTGAATTCCATGAGTGTAGATGTAAAAGGATGGCTTGAGAGCTACTTGCAGATCCCACATCCCTCGCAAATCGAATAAACTTTTTTCACCAACCTTCTCCAGATCCCAGTTCGTTCCCTTCAACCACCCCCAACCCATCCCACGTTCCGATCCCCGCTCACACCATCTTCTCCACAAATCCCAACAACGCCATCCCAATCTTCGAACTCTGCGACCACTTCTTATACCTCCCACCCAGCGCCTCAAGCACCCTCGTCGCATCCTCCTTATCAAACTTGCCGCTGTCGGTCACACTCTGCTTCTCCGTCTCAATCTGGGTCAAGAGCAACGCGCTGCGTTCGAGGTCGGAGGGTTTGAGGCCGCCTTGCCCGAGGATGGTGTAGGCGGTGAGCAGGAGGGTGAGATTATATGTGGCGGTTTTGGTGGATTGTTGGTCTTGGGACTGGGGGATGGGTTTAGTGGAGGGTGAT